AGTGAGGCGCGGGAGCAACGCCGAGGGTTGCAATCCCGTTGCCGGTCCCCGGTCTGGTACGGGGGCAACACTGAGGGTTGCGATCCGTTGCCGGACACGGAAAAAGACAAAAAGACAAAAAAAAAAAAAGGTCTGAAGAAAACAGAAACAAAGAACAAAAAGCAGATTGGTCATTTCAAAGTTACTTTCCTTGTAAGGAGGGGACAGGGAGACAGAATAGATAAATAACTGATTGTTTAACATCAGATTACTTCTTTTGTGTAAGGATGAAAGCAGAGGGAACTTCATTATCATGCCTATCAAAGATTGAAGCTGGCCTGTTTGGGAAATTGGCTGTCTCTCAACTCAGTTTAGGTTCAGGTTGGTGATGTGGAACTCTAGCAGGGGTGGCTTAATTTTTATTTTTTTTTTTTTTTTTTTTTTTGTCTTTTTGTCTTTTTCCGTGTCCGGCAACGGATCGCAACCCTCAGTGTTGCCCCCGTACCAGACCGGGGACCGGCAACGGGATTGCAACCCTCGGCGTTGCTCCCGCGCCTCACTCAGCCAGTGAGCGGGAACCGGTCTGTATATGGGATCCGAACCCTCGGGTGGGAGCGCCGCCGTGCTTCCCAAGCGGTGCACTATCCAGTGCGCCACCGGGCCGGCCCTTAATTTTGATTTTTTAGTCTGGTCGATTGGAGTCTAGTGCAGGAACTTAGTCCAAAACAATGGCTTCCAATAATTTTTAGTTAACATTAGGTTACCTCTAGATTACATCTCATCTGGGTACACTTTCCCCCTTCTGATTCCATCTCCCTTATCCCCAACCTCTGAGCCTCTGCACAGGCAGTAAAATCCCCTGAAAACTCTTCTCTTATGCTTCCTTTACTTTCTTGTTCTAAATGAAACTTGGTTCCCACCTGATATCACTGCTTTTTCTCCATCTCTTTCATAAGATGGCCAATGTATCACTTGACCTGGGATTCATGTGTGGGCCTTTGCTCCCCACTACCACTTCCAGATCATTTTCCATCCTTCCCTAAAAATACCCAGCTTTGAGTCTTGTGTCATTGGACTATCCATCCATTAACCTTCCTTGTCACAGTCATGTACTGATCCCCCAGGTCATATGACCTTACTCCTTGATGAATTCATGTCCTGACTCCATTCATTCTCCCTAACACTTCTTCTGTCATGATGCTTAGTCATTTTGATATCCATGTAGGAGATTACTAATACCCTGGTGTTTTAGTAAGGTTTCTCCTGAAAGTGGACTTTGAAACAAGGACTTTGGGGTAAAAGTGGTTTCTTTGGGAGATAACCCAGGAAGCAGTAAGATAGGGAAGGAGGAAAAACCTCTGTAAACGTGTTCCATCAAGGCCCCTACCATGAATAAAGGGGACTCAAGGCCACTGAGACCTTGGGGAAATATCCTGAGTGCCCCACAAAATTGCTTTCCAAAGAACAAGAGGCTGGGGCACTTATCCACTGGCTTCTGACCCTATTAGCTGAGGGTTATTCTGTGAAGCATTATCTTCCTTGTACTTTGCTGTACTTGCCTGTGAACCTAGCAAGCTCTTGGGCCTTCAGAGAAGACCCTGAGGTGAGAGTAGAAAGGAGAGATGCCCTTTTTGGGTGGAAAACTGTTAGGTGGAGTCTGAGCTTACATGGAATATTCACTTTAGCTGCTATTGAAATCAGAATTAGGTCAAGGGGATGTGACTGGGACACCAAAAGGGTCTGGAATGCTCCTTAGTTCCCTGACCTCTTCTTTTCCAGTGAGTCTGTCCTCCACCCTACCTTATCTACTCTCTCCCTTGATCATAGCTTAGTCCTTGTCATTACTAATATCTGCCACCAATAACAGTCTAAGCTCAATTTTACCTTCCAACTACCACTTCCCATCTTTCCAGCCCGGTCCCTCTTGTATCTTGACTCCAGCAATCCTTAGGCCCTCATCTGGATGTGCAGTACTTTGATCCTACTGTCTTTTCTCACTTTGATACTACTGTCTTTTCTCTCTTTCACCCTTTTAATTCAACTTAAATCCAGTGGTCAATCATCATACTCACTTACATGCATATATGCTCAACTCCCTCCATCATTCTCCCTCAGCAAAAAGCCATCATTGGTTATGTCCTGTTCAATGCCTATTCAGAGCCTGCAACTGAGTGGCTGAATATGGCATTAGAATCAAACAGATCCTCCTGAAGCTCCTGGTCAAGATGGTGGAATAGATAGTCCCCGGCTTCACCCTCTTCCACAAATCAACCAATTTACAATGATAAAAAGCAACAACAGCTGAGCTTGGGCCACTAGAGCTCAGGGGAAGAGGAGGACAGACCTGCAGAATGCATGAAGGCAGGAGAAGCCACAATGAGAGAAGGAAAAAAACTCTCTAACCATTTCATGCGGCAGTCACTTTAAGGCTGGAGCTGCTGAGCACTGGGAGCAGGAGC